GAACAAATATAGATCCTTTCCAGTCAGTACAAAGTCCAGCCCACCATGTCCTGGTGGACTCTAACTGCTGGTGACTCCATGGGTTTAATCAGAGTCCTGGATACATCCAAAAATTCTTAAATCCTTGTAATTGCTTACCATCATTCATTTCCTCCGGTGCAACCTCACTACTGCTGAGTCAGAAGTAACTCACAGTTGACCTTCAGTGGGTTTTCTAAGGCTATAAATTGCATGGGAGGTGATTGCCCATCTTTCTCCCTCAGAGCTGCTGGTGGATTTGAACCATCAAGAGAGGAGCTGCCTTTGTGGTAGCAGCACAACTTCCTAAAGATAATGTCACCAATCTTATTGCTTACTCTCATCTCCTCTGACGCCTACACATTTTTTCTTTCCCTGAAATAACCTTTGTTTTGTCTTTAAGCTTCAAAGTAATAGATTTAATTTTCTCTCTCAAGTTTTGTTCTTTATTCCTCTATTTTGCCTTATATTTCCCATGTAATATGTTTGGCTTTTTTTTCCTATATCAGCCTAAAGGAAAATGAAAATAATCTTGGGGGGGGTGGTTATATGGAGTTTGCTGTGGGATAAAAAATGACTTCAAAATATTAGATTTAGAAAGTGTTAGAGTTGTGCTGTAATTAATTTTGGCACTGCTTTAGTATTATTTACCAAAATAAATTTTATTGTTGGGAAATAATTATGTAACATGTAGAATGTTGGAAACTTTGTGCAGAAAACTTTATAAGAATCAGAAATACTATGACCCATTCTTTTTTATGAGCATCTGGTAACATTTTAAGAGAATTTATAAATATAATAGCAATTCAAGAGAGAACATATGTGGAAAAATTAGATTACTGGGAAATTTTCAAGTAAAAGTTGTATTGAGACAAGTGAAGTGAAGTGAAAACAATATAACAATATCATCCAAGTAAGTAGAATTTTAAAATCCAACAAATGCAGTATATTGTACTTTTTCTGTCTTCTTGAGTATGCAAACAAGTGACCAGCAGCTAAATTCCATCTCAGTGGCTCTGTTCCCTCTCTATCTGTTTTAACTTCTTTCTTTTTTCTTTGTTCTTTATGTCTCTTTTTGTCTTTCTCTTGTTTAACTACTTGACATTTTATTGATTATCTGTAGAATCATCAGGATTGTTGTTATTGTTGTTTTTTGGTGCCTTCAAGTCAAGCATGACTCATAGTGACCTTATGAGCAACAGATCTGACACTTGTCCTATCCTGCCCTTTCTTCATCATCTCCGATATACTGGAGCCCACTGTTGAAGTCACTTGTGTCAATCCATCTTATTGTCCCTCCAACTTTCCAAGTACTTTATTAGGGAATAGCCTCTTCTAACAACATGCCCAAAGTATGTGAAATAGAGTTTTGCCATACTTGTCTCTATGGAGCACCCTGCTTGCACTTTTTCAAGACATTTGCTTGTCTTTTTGGCAGTCCATGGGATAGTCAGTACTCTTCTTCAACACAGCAGCTCAGAGTCATTGATTCTTCTTTTCTTATGAATATAAATCAGACTTGGGTTCAGGAAAATCTCTTTCTGAGATTAGGCACGATCTTGAAAAAATAAACAAACAGAAAAGTAATAAAACATTAACTCTGGCCGAATTCTTCGATTTTGTTGGCAGGATGGATTGACTCCACTTCATTGTGCTGCAAGAAGTGGGCACGACCCAGTGGTAGAGCTTCTGCTGGAGCGGGGTGCTCCCTTGCTGGCAAGGACTAAGGTGAGTCATTAGGAGCAAGATAGAGACTAAAAGGATTTAAGCTACTATTGTTTGAAAATGTGTATTCTTTATAAAATCAAGGCTGCAACCAAAGAATTTTTTAAAAATAAAATTTTATTTTATACTCATTTACTTACAAAGTTCTTATACATTATTTTCACACCGATTCTTTCTCATTTCCTTTACCCTTTCCTCTCTCCACTTATCAAATTGTGTGAGCCTATGATTAACAATCCCCCCACTTCACTCTACAGTCAAGCATTTTTAAGTTAATTAATGTAGAGTTAATATGAAATACATATTAGATAATACCCAAACAAATATACTATTTTAAAATTATTT